TTGTGAGAATATAGGGACAAATTTGTAATGTTGTAAGTGAAGTTAATAACATTTTACCCACAACAGTAAAGTTTCATATTTTAAACCTATGATAACCTGCACAATTACTACTAGTAACTTATACTATGAAAAACAATGAAAATTGCAATTTTAAAAATCAATCGTGCTTCTTTGTGAAAGCTACTAATTTTCATATGAATCATTAACTATTGGACTTGTGTTTTACATATGCCATGTCTCATTAGTTGTTTATTAATTTACTTATAAACAATAGACATTACAATAATTAATGACTGCATATAATTATGGTACACATGATTTCTTTTAAGAAGACCTCGTGTTTTACTCAATGTAGATCATTTGAAATTTAGTAATTATAATTTCTCTGTCACTGTAAATCATTTTCTCACTTTGGAGCAGTGCAAAAAATGGTTTCCAATAAATTACTTTAGAAATATCACAATTTTAAATAATAAACTCCTAAAAGACGTCAACTTGAAAAGCAGGGCTATTTTACAAACATTTGAAAATTTTTTTCTATTTTTTAAAATCTCATAGTAAACATCATCACAACAAGCAACCTCATGGTTGAAATAGCACCACTGTCGCTGTAGAGTGTCTGTCTCAGAAGTTTATAAATGTTTTGTATGATGAGATTCTAACTATTTGCCTTGATTCCCATAATTTTCTTGCCTTTTCACAACTACTGTAGTTCATATGGTTGTAGCCTCACGAGGTTGCATGAATTGTGCCCTCCATGGTGCTCCAAACTTGACACACACCTGACAGAACGATGTAGTTTTTCACTTTTCCCGACGATTTTTTGTTGGTACCAATAAAATTAGTCTACTCCATAATTTATATGTACACTGGTACTGGCAAATATTAAAAAACCTGGCTTACTATTTACTCTAAATGTTAACATAAAAACAAATAACATTGCTTTATTGCTACATTTGTATTGCTGAAACCATGGAACTATAAACCACAGGAAGAACAAGAACTCTGTTTCCTTTGGAGTATGTTGCCTCGTTGTCGAATGTTTACTTTGACTGTTTATTACGTCGCATTAAAAAATAAGCCAATTTACGCAAATGAACATTAATCTCTGACTATCGGTCATTTTCGGAGTCAATCGGGCAACTTCGGGAGATCACGTGATCGAGTTGTTTTTGTTATATTAAAAATGAAAACTCGCTAAACCCGACCCGTTGCACGACTTCCGGTACACTGAAGGTCACCCTGCAGACCGACTTATTTGCGCATGCGTAGGGAACAAAATATTTTACTGCGCAAATATGAAATATTTTTCTTCAAGTTTTCCGTTCCCAGCAAAGCAGTTGATACAGCGTATTGGCGGCAACTACTATTAACATCCAGTATGACTAATGTTGTGGAAACAAAGCGAAAGCACTGTAAGATAAACTAAGACAAAGGTTTTTTTAATCCTCTTAGTTTGGTTATTCTTCCTGTGGTTTATATTTCCATGGTGAAACCATGTATGATAAGCAGTTATCACATAATAATATTACAACGTTTTATTCGTGATCATAGTATTTTGACTCAGCTCTTCACTACTCATCAAAATCCTAGATCCCTCGTAAATACAAATCAAAGAAAGCTT